CACATGTTTTTTCTCCTGCCACTTGTCAATGAGTCCTCTTTCATTCAAAGGAGTAACCTACACAAGTTCTTCTCTACTGCAGGCATCAGCTGCAGTCGCAGAGTGCTGTACTCTAGTTTTGTGAACTTCCTTCAGGAAGCCACCCTGCCTCTTGGTGGGAAAATACGTGGTTTGTTGCAACCCAGCAGAAGCAGAGCTGCAAGTCTCATCTGAATTTTATTATTTCCTTTTAACCCCATCTGCTTCTCCTCTCTTTGTTCATTTTCCCCTCACTTCCCTTTACTCCAATCTTTTGTTCTTGCCTAGAGCCAACCCAAATGTAGTTTGACCCTACCCCCAGGATTTTTTAATTAGATACATAATCTTGAATTCACAATGATTTTAAAAGATCGGTACCGTATTGTGTACTGTATTCTAGACTGTGGCAGATGAATACTATGTTTTGTCTGTTAGTTTTGAGATGAATATGCAAAAAAAGATAAATGCTTGTTTATGAGGAGTAAACAGTGACCTTTATTTGAGGTGTTTCATGTGTAGCATGAATTTCATGCTCATGAAGTTCAAACTGAGCTTTACTTAGTTTCTGTGCAGTTCAGTTGAAGTTGTCTCTGCATAGAAATCCATGTTACCTCTTTTGTTGAATGTTTTGAATGTTATGCTTGAATGTTTGTACAGTTCCAAAATAATAAAGTATAACTTTCTCCTTTTAGCTATGTCAGTTTGATGATCACCCTAATGGAGAAAAATTCTTCTTACCTCCTCGTTACGGTTTCATATGATCCAAACAAACACAAAGGTGAGAACTTTGCACTGTTCATGTTTTGATTTTGCATGCTTTAATACAAATTGTATGTAGATGTGGTAGATACATTAGTATCTTCCCCAGGTTTTTTATCATCATAGCTTTGTCAGCTGATCACACCAATACAACTGTGTGTTAAAAATTTTAGATGTTGACCAAGCTTGAGACTAAATTTGCTTTCTGTCTAGCATTCAGACATGCTAAGGGTAAGTGGAGGACAGACTTGGCATATTAACAAAGAAATGAAACTGGAAGTGTGGCTGTGACAATGAAGCTGGAACAGCAAATGCTTAGAGTAACATCCTGTCTGGCCTAGGGAGCTTGAAGCACTCCCAAGAACATTGGTTTCGCTCTGTTTACCCAATACTTGCAACCCAACGTGTTGCCCATCTTGTGCCTCTCCCCCAGCCACTACCATGGTCTGAGTATTCTTGGAAGAGGTGAAATTCTGTAAAATCATAAAGTATTTTTTCCTTTTATAACTTTTATTACATCCAGAAGTCTGAAGTATTTTAAAAGATTTTTTTGTTTGTTTGTTAATTATTAACTCTTAAAAGAAAGAGATATCTTGCTGCTTTTGGGCTCTTCAGCATAATTATCCCTGAAAAAATAGGTCTTGTTATCATAAGCAACAATAGTTTAATTCATTGCTCTCCCTCTCACATTATTCAGCTTTTAGCTTTAATTATGCCATTGTAGTACAAAGAGATTGTTGGCCGGATTCACACAGCAAGTGAGAGTGGTTGTATCCACGGCATGTTCATGACTTCTGACAATGTGGCTACCCTGGCTGCAGCCTGGAGATGATGCAGCAGCAATACCTGAAGCTGCTTGCTGGCCCACCAAGGTGCCACAAGTTCTTGGATATGGTGTTTTCTGGTTCCTGCAGATGCTGCTACACACTGGGGCCCGATTGCGGGCCAGGTGCTGAGTGATGGGGCTGGCTTTCCTCCTGCGGTGTAAATGTTCGTCTCCTTCCCGTGTCTTCTCTCTGTTCAGCTTCACCCGTTGTCTTTCAGGCCCACCGTTTTATGTTCCTGAATCTGAAATTAAAAGCTTGTTTGGTAAGTAATATTTCAGCTAACCCTTAGGAATTTTTTCCAAAACACATAAACATGTTTATGTGCTTCTACCTCGCCCTGTGACAAGTCATAGAGAGTCATTTGCTTCTTATCTAAGGGGTGGAGTCATGGAAGAAAAATTAAGGGGGAAAATAAATACCATTTAGCCACAGGGATTTTGCTGTCAAGGAAAATTCTCAGCTCTTCAAAGATATGGAGAAAACCCAAGGGACAGATACTGTCTCTTTCCTCCCCTTGGCATCTTTTCATTCTCCCAGGATTCATACTGCACTCAGTGATTTGCAGCTGCAGTCTTAGTCCCGTTTGACCATTTTGTCTTTCTCTGCACCTCATCACCAGCTACCCTCATTTTAATACAAGCCCTTTGCATACCGGTTCTACGGTTTCTGCTGTACTTTTGTAGCCAAAGAAAAGTAAAGTGCCACGCGAAGAAAATGCTAAATGTACAACTCAAATCCATCAAAATAATGAAATTGGAATTATGGCAAGAATTTGATTTTAAAAGTTCCTCCTGATATGCTTTGATACTGCACTTCTTTTAAATTTACAACTTTGAGACCCCTGCAGTGTCTGTGTGCAGTGAGTCATTGGCATGGACAGTTGCACCCCAATGCAAAAGAGTCCGATATGTTTTCCCCGGTGCATTTGTGCCACTGCGTTGGGGACTGTGAGGAAATATGTGGATAAGATTTTTATTCATTTATTTATTTTTCCCTGACAGTTTGCTTTTTTCAGTGACTAATCATTCAGTAATTTGTTACTCTTCCCTCCTTTTCAGGCAACCACTGTGAAATTAAGTGTCTTCAAAAAGTCAATGACTTCTCAGACAAACACAGGCAATGGGGACTAGATTATTTCTTGGAGGTGCTGTATATACTAAAATTTGATTAAAATTACTTGATTAAAATTAATTAAAATAACTTACCTCCCATCTTGCTTTGATTTTTATCTCACCTTTTAAAGTGAGACATGTTTTGGGGCACTCTTAAAGCAGGCTTCAGCGTACAGAAAAACACCTGTGGAACACTTTTGTCCATTTTGCTTACCAGGTCAGCTCTCCTACATAACTGCCTTCCCTGTCTTGAGAGGCGCATAGCTTTTCTTGAACTCCATGCACAAACAAGCATTTTTAAAGTATATCTTTTTCTTCTATATCAATTCAAATCATCAGAGCTAGGAAAAAGAAACGTTCCCGTTCCTTTTCGGCCATTGCCAGTCGATGCTGTCTGCCCGGTGCTTCACAGGTCGGCCTCGTTGGCTGGCAGCCCCGGGAGCAATGGCGGTTGCTGTTCAAAGGCTGTTTCCTGTGACGCTGGCCTTGTGCCAGACCGAGCAGCTGGGCGAGAGAGGCGGGAGGCTGGTGCGAGTTGCTTCTCTCCGTCCCCATTAGTCGTGATTACGAGTCAAGTGACAAGCTGGCAGTGAGCGGGCAAGAACGCTTGGCAGCAGGCACCAAGGGGGAACTATCATCGGGCAGGAAAGAGAGGAGGGAAGCGAACCGGATGACAGTAAAGGAGAGAGTACGGGTAGAAAATGTCCCTGCGGTTGCTCGCGAGTGTGCTGCTCCCTCCCTCGAGAGCGCAGCTATGAGCAGGCAAACCGGCACAGGGCTTGTAGGGTGAGAGGGTTCAAAGAAAGCCTGCAGAGCTGCTGCGTGTTCATCCGAACACAAACCTTCCTTTGCGGGTCTTCTATCACTTCTGTATGGACACCACCGCAATTTTTAAAAATTACAAAATTTGGGGCGCTCAAAACCCTTTCTTGCCCTGGCCTTCTCCCCTTGGCAGCTTATTTTAAAAAATGCTGGAAAGGTACAACTGCAAGGTAGTGTATTAAAATTCACCAAGACCAGAAGGCGAGTGAAAGCCACGGGGCTTTTTAGGGTGTTGTAGTCCTAGAGCTGCAAGTGGGTCTGATGATTTTAGCACAGCAGTCCCCAAGCTACAGCCCGTTGCAACTCTCGATATTGCCTGTAGCTACTGGCGCTTCAAGGCCGGGTTGACGGAGAGAAGAAAGGATGTAGCCAGTGGGCCAGTGCAAGCTGGGAGCTGCTATTTTCGTGTATTTTCACTTCTGGCCAGCACTGCAGCTACCCGGTTAAAGCACCTCCTTCCTCTCGATCCAGAAATTTTTTCCAGATGCAGCGTGAGAGCCGCTGAAGTTTATCTCGGGCTTTCAGGTACTTTGCCTAGCTGCGAAAGGCCAGGTGCTCGGCACGAGGCTGCTGCACGCTCAGCAACATCCTGCGGCAGGATTCCCAGGTGTGTGACAGCCTGGCAAGAGCGATGCCACTTGCACCAGACAAGCCGTTCCAGGATGCGTGAGATACCTCTGATGTGTGAGTACCGTGCGGTTACTCTGAGAATGCCTCTTGCGGAACGAGCAGGTGCTGTTCAGGCACCTTACGAGCCGTGCGTACGCGCCTGCTTGGAAAAAGCGGCTGCTAGGGATGAGCGTAGATATTTCCCATCGCATTATTCAAAAGCTTCCCAGAACAGCAAGAGAAACCCTATGAAGCTGCGACCGCTTCCTTACCCCGATACGGGCGTGAATAGCACTAGCAACGGGGCGATAACGGGGTGACTGGACGTCCGTAAG